AGGGTGGTAGAGTGGTAGAGTTGGTTGTGGTGGCGGTGGTGTTGGCGTTGTTGGTGTTGATGTTGTTGTTGTCGCTGTCTTTGCTGTCGTGAGTTGTGGTTGGTTGAGGTGTTGCTGGTTGTTGGTTGTTGGTGCTGGTTGCTACGGCTGTTAGGGTTGTTGACGTTACTATGGTTGTTGCGGTAGTTACGGTAGTTACGGTTGATACGGTTGTTCCGGTCGCTACGCTTGTTGCTGTTGTTACCGTTGTTACTGCTATTGCTGTTGTTCCCGTTGCTGCTGTTGTTGCTGTTGCCGTTGCACACTGTTGTTACACACTGTTGTTACACACCGTTGTTACACACTGTTGTTACACACTGTTGTTTCACTGTTGTTACACTGTGGCTAGCTGTTGTTACTGCTCGCTCTCTTGTTCTTCTCTCTTCGTCTTGCAGGGTCTTAGGCCGCTCTCTATCTTAACGGAATGAAGTTTTATAAATGCAGCCGCCCCACTGAAATCACCAATCCTGAATCTCCCGTCGGCTCTGTTACCATATGGGTTGGAAAAAACCATCGAGGCCCTGGCGTTTAGCATTAGCAACACTTGAATCTCCCAACGTCTATTCACTGTCGGTTTCTATGGTCATATACCCAAGAAGAGAAGCATGAGAAAAATTGCGTTGTTTAAGACGTAGCAACTCAAACATGGTCAAGAAGGTGCGCGTAAAGGTGCCATAATAGCGGAAGACTTGTTCTCGCAATGCGGCATCATGGGTGGCATCAGCCAGGTACTCACGGCAGAGGGTACTGACAACCAAGCCAGCGACGCACTGTAAGAAGGCTAGGAGGCAAAAACTCCAGAACAGCATATCGATGCTGGACATGAGACTCTTGAGGAGCAGCTGAAGGGATGAGAGAATGCTTCCCATGCTGACCAAGCGGAGAACACGTGCAAGCTTCCCAAGTCGCAAGATGCGGACCAGCACAGGACCTGGAAGTCACTCGTGTTTCTGAACGTGATTCAAGAGCCTCATTTCTGTTGGGAAGATCTGGTCCTTTCAACTGCAAAATTTTCTTCTAACCTGGCATGTCTGTTCTCAGATTTCTTGAACCTGGACAACTCAGCAGACTCAGCACAGGGCTGACTGGCACCACCAGCAAGGTAGAGACAACTTCCACGGCAGAGACCAAGCTCACAGCGAGATCAGCATAGTTCAGCCAGACTTTCCAAAACTGCCAGCCCAAAACCACGATGCGGACGGACACCTCGAAGAGGAAAACTCCTTACAGAACCCACACGCAGAATTGCAGTGGCGGCTCAGTCAGGCTGCCATCCAACCGTGACATATACATATACATATATATAGATATATGTGTGTGCATTATTTATTTGTATCTATGTATTTACATATGTCATACGTATGATACATCAACACAGCAAGCCAGAACTACCAGCTAGGGACCAGTGCTATTCAATACCCTTCTCTCTCTCTCATCTTTGCGCCAACCCAAGCTCCCGAGAAAATCACATCCCCGATCCGCAACATGCTGACGAAGGCATCTCCCATGTCCTGCATCGCAAGCAACGTCTACAGGCCACTTGTGTGCAAGGTACAGTACCGCTGCGTCCACTCCAGTCATGCCCAGTTGGCAAAGCTTTCCTTGGCCAGACTTCCAACCCGATGCAGGCTGTCCTTTGACATGTTTGGGTCGGGAATCAACTCCGCTTCGAAGGCTGCTCGCGACCCAGCAATTTGCAACTCCAGAGCCATCCAAAAGATATTGGCACAAAGGAGGAATATGATGAAGAGCCTGGCACCATTCTCAAGGAGACGAGAACGACATGCAGCAGGTAATGAAAAACTCTCCCGAACCAAATGCAGCTTGGGATCTCAAAGCGGCTAGATTGCAGCCACCAGTACATCTGCTGACCCAAAGGCATTTTCGTTCTGTCCATTTCCGACCAATCCTGCTGAACCAATGTTTTGCTTGGGCATTGGTTCAGGATTTCCCCGACAACCTTGCCCGTGGTGTCGAACTTGCTCGCGATGTCTTCAACCGCATCTCCGGTTAGTGGCTCTGATATCTCTGCGTCGAGGGCATCCAACAGCTCTGTGGCTTGCAGCTCCCTAGCGCATTCGCGGTGCTTCCCTCGGTACTGAAACGGACTTTTGCCAAGCTCAATCAGCTACAAGATTTGCCCCGCAACTTCAACAACCAAAGTCCTGTCACGTGCATCTCTAGTAGCCCTCAAGCTTGGTCAATATACTGAAAAAGCATCATCCGAGGAGCGCATGAGCGAGCTGGAGGCGCCACCGACGGATGCCCTGAGTGGAGTCGGCGGAAGCGGCGGCGGCCTGCACTTCACACTGCGGAAACTCGGCAGAAACCCATGCTGGAAACCTATTTTTGAAACCTTAAAACATCTCAAGCAAGCATGTACAAGCGCGTTTCCAAGATTTTGTAAAGTTTTCAAGCAAGACAAGCGGGCAGCTCCGCCTGGCATCTGGTAGGGCCTGTGTCCTCGGAGATGTGACGGAGTGGACCTCTTGGCATACACAAAATGGCGACGGAGCAGTCCGCAACGTCCTCTTCCTTCCTTCTGTGCACTCAGCCCACCCAAGTGGGCCGCCCCGATAAAAGTGCTCCGTCAGGTTTGTCCGTGTAAACTTGTGCCCGACACAGATCGAACTTAGCTTCGCCCCTCACCCCCAACTGCTGCCAATCAAATGACCATTACCAGTCACCCCTATCAGACGAGGCTCTGTCTCGCTCTCTCTCTCTCTCCCTCCCTCCCTCCCTCTCTCTCTCTCCTCTTCTTCTTCTTCTTCTCCCTGATTAGGAGGGTCCCCCCTCTCTCTTTCTTTCTCTCTCTCTCTCTCTCTCTCTCTCTCTCTCTCTCTCTCTCTCTCTCTCTCTCTCTCTCTCTCTCCTCCCCCACGCATGACCCCCCCGAAGGGAGGCCGCCCCCAGGGGCGCGTGCTGGTCTCAGGTCTGTTGGTACAAGACGTCCTTCTCGTATTGAGCGGACGTCCGGCTCGTTGGCCAAAAACACGGGAGTCGGGTTCTGCAAAAGCTGCTACTGTTTGGCATCCCCCTCCTGTACTTCCCGGTTTTCAAGATGGGTTTGGGGTTCAGACGTTCAAACATCCTATTGGGGCCGTAAGTACCTGTAATCCCAAGCTAGTTGCACTTCACTGTCCTCCCCCCTTTCTGTGCCCCCATCCTTTTCTTAGTCGCTACTGGCTCCCTCATGCGTTCTTCTCCTTCTGCTGTCGTAGTCCCCTTCTGGTACTCTATGCTGATGTCGATGTAGTGCGTGCCCCCCAACTTCTCTCTCTCTCTCTCTCTCTCTCTCTCTCTCTCTCTCTCTCTCTCTCTCTCTCTCTCTCTAACTTGGGGCGCATTGGCCGTGTTGGGCTGTGGTTCTGACTCATAGGGCAAAGAAGACCCAATGTCACGTCGATAAGCATGAACCAAAGTACACGGCAAGTCGGATTACGTAGTCTCCCCCCCCGTGTCCCAACTCTGCAGTACTGGCGAGTCTTTACTGTTTTCCCCCTGTGTTGGCCTCTTTGGGACCTTTAGTCCCTCTTGCTTTCTTTCTGGGGGCATGGGGGACAATCCCCCGGGCGTCACCGCCCGCCCCTGTACTCGGGGCAGCTCAGTGGATTGTTGGCGGCCACCCTGTGCAGCTCTCTTCTGTTCCCCCCACCCCTTCACCCCGTGCTCCATGCGCTGCCCCCTCTCTCTGTCCCTCTCCCTCTCCCTCTCCCTCTCCCTCTCCCTCTCCCTCTCCCTCTCCCTCTCCCTCTCCCTCTCACTCTCACTCTCACTCTCACTCTCACTCTCACTCTCTCTCCCTCTCTTTCTTTCTTTCTTTCGTTGGGGCATGGGGGTGGCCCCCCTCTCTCTCTCTTTCTTTCTCTCTCTCTCTCTCTCTCTCTCTCTCTCTCTCTCTCTCTCTCTGTGAAGCACTTCCGGTGCCAGGCAGAAAGCCATGTGGAATTCGCCATGGAAAGCTGAGCAAAAGCTTGCTGTATTCCCACCTGACTTGCAGCCCCTCTTGCATCTGCCAGGTCCTTCATGTGCTGAATGACCAGCCTGGACTGCATAATCATGCTCTTTCTCCCTCTCGCTTTCTTGCGGAGGGTTGATGAATCAGCACCCTGAATTCATCAAGCCGTATCCAGTAGTCAGTAGCCGTCCCCAACTCCGAGGCTTGATGAAAGAAGGCCCTCTGTTTCACGGCCGCTCGCTCTCAGTCAAGGTGACTCGCTCACTGTCTCTCATTTAAATTCTGCCCCTTGGTGTCTGAATGCTCCCGGCCACCATCTCTTTGAACTCACAAGCGAAGCAGCGCGTGAGACCTGAGAAATCTGAGCCGAGCTGCTCGTCCACAAGTTTCTTGAAGGCGTCAGAGGCCACAGTGCTCGAACAACTGGGGCCACTGGGGCCTGTCCACATCTCTTCAGAATTGCTGTATATTTCAAAGCGCGACCGCCTTGACTGCCTCTCATTGCACACTGCTTTTCTTGCAACACTCGAAGGACAGACCTGGGCTCCAGCTTGAAAGCTCCTCGATCTCTGGCACCTGAACAGCATGTGCAGGTGTTCTGCATGTTGCGTCGGAGGCACCCTGAATTCAGTTGGCCATGCATGCGAACCGATCGGGCAGGACACATGCGGAAGGTCCTGCGAGATCCCCTTGGCAAGTGATAACCCCTCCACCACCGCCATTCTCACGGAACTCGCGGTTGACTCGCTACTCTGTGGGGCGGTTGAACTTTACAGTCAGTGATAACCTATGATGCCATGATTCATGCCCCCAAAATCCCTCCAAGCCAACGGCTGCAGATTCGCTGCGGTTCTCTTGCGGGCGAGTTGTGACAAATTTCGTGGCGCATGTGGACGGCATCGCTCCGGCATGCGAATATGCAATCTCCGCATCCTACATCGGACTTCCCGAATTGAATGGTGCATACAGAAGTTCTTCAAGATCTCGAGTCCAAGAGTGCTACGACGTAGTGAACCGTCAGGACCGCAGAAAGCCCCTCGCTCTGCAGGTCCTCAGACCTGAGGAAGATGTCAAAAATTGTCAAAAGAAGACGGTGGCATCCGCGAAAAAGCTGAGAACATCTCGCATGTGACATCGCCTACCTATGGATAACTGGTCGCTTCCTCGCGCGTGCATGACGACATGCATGCGATTTCTGACACAACTGAATGCTCCGAGTGCTCCGGCTGGTCTTGGTTCGACTCTTCGGCTCTAATAATGATGTACGTAATTGCGGGAATGGCCCACCTTCCAGCCATTTCATGTCATTTCCAAATCTGCTGCTGGCTGCCAGCTCGCGTAGCAGACGATGCGGAAAGGCACATGCCGGCCACTGCTTCCAGAATCCATGTGCAAAGGGATAGCCACAGCAGCTTCTTCGTGCCAACTCAAACTTGCCAGCAACACAAGAAGGCGAAGAAGGCGTGCTTCAAGAGTCTCGCTATCTCCCTGGCGGCAGCAAACGGTCTCAGGTGAATGGAGGATCGGGATGCTCCAACCATCTGCCGTTGTAATAACTGCTCTCGAAGCCTGTGTACCCCAAACAACATGACCAGCCCCAGAGCATTCAGGACTCTTAGACCACGCCACGCATAGATGACTCCAAGACCACTCTGAGAAATTCTGAGGGCCAGAGTGACGACAGTTCGGCACACGCGGAGAAAAACGCATGGGACCGAGGCGAGAGTGCCATTCGCAACCCTGCAAAATATGCAAGTCCTCAGCCAACCCATCCAACAGCCCCCAAAACGCAGGAAAACATGCTTCTGCCGTGTTTTCGCGACACGGAGCGAGGCAAGCCTCACAAGTGTGCACGGTAAATACGCGAGAGCCCCATTTCGAGTAAGGAACCAGCGAGAGCGTGATTTGGCACCCTCTGCAAGTCCCGTGACAACTGGGCCGAAGCATGATGAGCGAGCGATTGTGGACCAAAACACGCACAGGTCTCGAGCGAGCGCCAACGACCCAGCCATGTAATCTAACCCCTTACTCCTGACGTTGGAAACGCATGGTATTGGTGCACTGCTTGGAAAATTTACGCCTGCCAAGCTTGTGGTTGGAGAAGTTCACACTCTCAGCCCCGGCCCTGACTTGACCCTGCTGGCTAGACATAGCTGCCTCCTTCCGCAGTTTCGAATCCGCAGTGCTGTCCCGGTGACCTGCAGAAGTCCATGTCAAGCGTTGTTCAAAGTACCGAGCTAGCCATCAGGAAACGCCGAATTCCTTCAATGCCTCAGGTGATGCAACGACTTATAAGTCTCTAAGACTCTAAGACCCAGGCCTCCCACCGCGAGTAGTACAACGCAAAGCCGTGGAGTGGCACCTCGGCACATTGAAAGAAACGACCATCAAATGCGAAAAAACAAAAAAAACGAATCAGCTCATGTGAGGGAGTCACAAGGAGCCCGAGGACGGCAAAGCGAGTGGCCCGCGTCTTCCTGGAAAGCTACTGAACACCGCTGATTCTCCGAGTGTTTTACAGTGCCACAAAATGCACCCCTGCACGGCTTCCAAGGCCCCCAGCCCCAGGACGGTGCCAGATGTGCTCATGGCGGGAACCTCGTTCTCCTGAAAGGCCAGGCTGTCGGGCCAGCTGCAAGGCTGTATGATGCTATGTAGCTGAATCGTGTGAAGGGCTTTGTCCATCCCACCCACACACACACACATGGCCTGGCATCCTACATTGTAATTACGGTGAGGGGGTGGTGCCACTGGAGGCAAGCACTGACCTGCCACTGAGCCCGATGCTGATGCCATGAGCAGCAGGAAGAGGAAAAGCACGGCATGAAGAAGAACAACACGATGTATGCTGGCAAAAACGCCCCAAAGCGAGTGGACCTGCAAGGACATGCACCACCTTCTCCCAAGGATCACCAGCAGCTCACACTTCACCAGCCTCGCGGTGGGTCTTCACCCCACTTGCTGCAAGCACCCGACCTGGGTCACCGGGGCCTGTCGATACAACCATCGGAACTTCAAGAACTGGAGAAGGGATGAGCCCCCAGCGCCAGTCCACGCGGTGTAGCTGGCTAAAGCGCCGCTCGTGAGGCACATCGAAGAGTCTCAGGTAACAGTTGCGGTTGCAGCTCATATCTTGGAGTCTTGATGAGTCTTCATGAGTCTTGGAGCATCTTGCAAGAAAAGTTCTGACCTATTTGAGTGCCCGGAGAGAAGCAGAGCCTCGACCCATCATCCAGAACGAGCCGCTTGGCCATGCGGGCGGGATCCTGCAGACCAAAAACTCAATTCTGCATCTGCTCCAACCATTCACCATGCCCTAGAAGAAGCCACTAAAATTCGACTTCCCGATCGGGAGTTATGAGTCTGGAGCTTGGGTGGCAGAAAGTGTCGGGCAAATCCAGAGTTTGAAATGGCTATGCGGGACGGAAATGCTTGCTTCCTCAAATATCTTGACACAAGTGGCCCCGACGGCCTCGAGGGCAGGTTCAGTCGCATCACCCGGCGTGAGCCCCAGTGATTCTACAGCCGTGAACTGACGCCGACAGCAATGTTGCTGCCAATGATTCATGGCAGAGCTTAGCTAAAACCAACTCGATGTTTGTCACGTACGTGCTCGAACCCCAGCTCTTCCCGCTGGTCAAGTTTACCCCATGCAAGCGCCGAAAGGCCGATGCCAACCCCCAGTGCTTCGTGCTCTCACGGAAGCCGGCGCGGCGATGTGGCGATGCACAGTGGCACCCAAAGAATGGTCTTAAGGCCCCTCGCTGGCCCGAAGCCTCCTGCGCTTCTTAGTTGTCTTCAATTTGTCGTGTCTTAATTGTCCCAATTGTCTTGGAGTCTCTTCTGTCCGGCCAGCATGCCTGTCGATAACACATCGTAACGCAGCAAAAGTGACGGGCCAAGAGAAAGGCTGGTAAACTCGCCAAAGATGTGGTCAGAATCCGATGACAAACACGGAATGTACATAGAAAAAAAGGCTCCTAGCCGAACATGACAAGCCAGATCAAGCCAGAATCTCTGTAACAAAGCCGCTCTTAGCCTCGCAGCCTGGTTTTCACTGGGACTTGAGACCAGTCCGGCTCGTTGTTATGATGTTCGGTGCGTGCAGGCACCCTGAACTGAAAGTTCAGAAGTCTAGAACGGGTCAGAACGAGAAGACTCCGGGGCGCATTCAGCAGCGCAAGCCTCACAGATCCCGAAAGCACCCGATCATGCAAACGAGAACCACCTAACACGCATTGAGGGCTTGGGGTTTGGAGTTCAGCGTTCGTCGGCAGCAATGACAATATTTTGCCGACCTGCGGGCAAGAGTGGGCCACTTGATCCACAAGTGATCGGACCATTGTTTCCCGAGAGCTCCAAGCAAAGAAGACCAATTGGACCAATACAAGCTGCATCCGTAGAGACCACAGACGGCGACAATGTTTGTCCGTTGACCGCACTCTGCGCGGTGCTTCTGAGATAGATCAGAGGGTCCCTTTTCTGAGCTGTGCTTCAATTAAACCCTTTGAGAAGGGAAAGAAAAAATGTGCCAAAGCACAAACCAGTATTTCGTCCTGACTGTATGTTTATACTCACTGTCGGACCAGCGCATTGGTACTGGTACACGGGCCCTTCAGAGGACAGGACAGCAAAAAAGTCACCTACTCTTTCTGCAATCGCAAAAAAAATCGGAGTAGTTGCGCTTCAGACCATGACATCCAAACATTCAGGGGCTGCACCGGCTCACCCAGGATGGCAGCATATCGTCGACGCACATACACATGCAAGTGCCCGCTTCAGGCAACCAATGCAAGGCCGGTTTCTGTGACCCGGGCACCCAAGGCAACGCCGACTCCAGGGACCCAACAAGGTGAACCTGCTACTGCTTCCAGTGCGGTGGACAACGGTGTGGACATCAATCAACGCTGCGAGCCCACAGGACCCCCGGGCGCTTTGTAGCTTAACACCAGAAAAGCAAGTTAAGCCCCCCAGTAGACAACGGAAATCGGCACCACGCATTTTAGGGGAGGGGGGGGGGGGGGGGGTTTTGTGAACTTGGGTGACCGCTCTCGGGCAAAGCGATCCCTTTGCAGCCAGGTGGGACTGAATGCAAACCATGTCATAGGCTTCTCATGGCTCTACAGCCTCGCAAAAGGCAACTACAACGGAATGAAGATGCGATTTGGGGTCATCGCTCTCAACATGACTCAGACATTAAGCCAAAGCCAAGAAGCGCAGAACAGCTCGTTCCAATCGTCGTAGTTGGCGGTGTCAGCCTGCAACGCCAAGTGGCGCCATCCTGCCTGCCTTGTTTGGCTCATGAATGTCTATCCTGCGGTCTGCTCAGTTGGGGCCACAGCTGGCAGAAATCTGTGAAGTTCGTCCCGAAGCACCTGGTACGGGTGAGCGAGGGCAAATTCGAACTCACCAACACTGGACCCTCGCAGCCTTCTTGTCCCGCTGGTTCTTGGGATCGACATCAACCTTCACGTACCATTCCTGCCCAACAGTCAGCATGCTTTTGGGCATCTGGCGGCTGGTTGCCCATGCTGGCCAGGCCTCGAAAACCACATTGTAAATTGGTCTAGTGACTTTGGCCAGAAAGAGACCACCTGAGATACGCTTGAGGCTTTTTGCCCGCCCAGTAGCAACTATTACTCTGTGGGATGGTGCCGGCACAAACTTTCATTCTGCAAACTAGTTGCAAGAGTTGACAAGACAACGCGAGAGCATTGATTCCGCTGCCAGGCTGCTTTTGACGGTGCCGCTACCCGTGTGATAAGCGGAGCCTGATTTAGGATCCAGACGAGGGTCAGGGTTTGAAAGACGCACTCAAGGGGGTCAGGTGCTTGCTCTCAAAGCAAATGGCTACGCCTCCCGTGAGCACGTCCTCTGAAGCCAGCGCCAGCTCCGTGAGGAAGTAAATCAGCTCAGGCCTCAAGGAGTGAACAACAATGAGCCTGTCGCACAAACATGTGCCAAGAATGGGGCCACGGCATGAACCGAATGTTGCCTGCTTCACCCCAAACCTGCCATGTGATGGAGAAGCATGGCTTGTGCTACAGTCAGTAACTGTGTAGCCGCCTATTTGACGGAGTCCGTACAGTCTGGGCCAAAATTGCCGACCAGATTCCCAGCTGAGGCTGTCTCCACATGCACAGTATTGCTCTCATCACAGGATCGGCGTCTTGAACTGACTCTCTCTCCGCTGCGCTGCTTTCATCTATCCTTGTCGACTACAGATCTTACTTGCGAAGAACAGTTCGAAGCACCCAGCCATGCTAAAGATGTTCACCGTGATCTTCGCCAGTCCACCGTGATCTTCGCCAGTCCAGACTTCAATTGTGATAAGCCGTCCCCTGCACGTCCGGCCTTGATTCTGGTAACATGCAGAGCTCCCCCCTGGATCCATGGCACCCGGCTGCCCAAGAAAACCTGAGACTTATGACCCAGTACTGATTACGATCCGAACCTTGACCTACCTTAGCCTTTTCATTTTGAGGCATTTGAGGCTTTCCACAGTCCGCAACTGGGGGCGGGGCAGGGGGGGGAAAGGGAGGCGGGGTGGATATACATCCTTTTGATATCCGCAAGGGCCCACATGCCACAACATGTCCCGCAAGATAAAACTTTGAGAGGTCTCTCTGAATAAACATTGAACGAAGGCTCCAGGTCATCAAACCAAGCATGACGGAGATGCCAGAAGGTAAAGACCAATCTCGACCTCAACGGGAATTGTGGCTGTGCGAGTAGGTTGCGCACTTTCAACTACCCCCCCCTCCCCCTGTCACCGGGTAGGGGATCAAAAAAATATTTGGGATCAAAAAAAACTTATTTCTAGGCGGATCAAAACAACTTATTTGGGATCAAAAAAAATTTACTGAAGGCTTCGAAGGCTTCTTGCCAGCGGAGCGGAGGCTGTAAACGCTCAGAAATGCAGCAGTTCTGGCCGTTCACAAGTCTAAATACCGAAAAAACAGAGCATTTATGCGGGAACTACTGAAAATAGCAGCACTTCTGAGTTTCCAGAGAGGCTGCAGATATTGTATTTAGCAGCAGTTCTGCGCTTTCAGAGGCTGGAAATACTGTACACTGCAGCATTTCTGAGTTTCCAGAGGCTGCAAATATTGAAAATAGCAGCATTTCTGCGATTTCGGAGGCTGGAAATACTGTAAATAGCAGCATTTCTGAGTTTGCAAAGGCTGCAAATCAATGCTGGCATCTTGGCATTAGAAGTTTCAAAAAAAGGCGTATACTCTGAGGCATGTATATGATGGCATAGTATTGTATATTCTTGTATAATATTGTATGACATTGTATGCCCTTGATGATATTGTATAATGTTGTATATATTGTTGAGTATTACTGTATTGTCTTGTATTTTCTTGTACTTTTTGTATAATATTACATATTATTGCATGTATTTGTGTGTTTTCCAAATTATTGTATGCTATTCTCTTTTTTGCAGATTACTGTATATTATTGTACATTATTGAATGTTCTTTGTATATTCTTGCAGAGTATTCTATATTATAGTATGTTTTGTATATTCTTGTATATTCTTGTATATTATTGTATATTATTGTCTACTATTGTATATTTTTGTATATTTGTGTATACTACTTTATATTATTGTGTGTCATTGTGTTTTCTATATTACTGTATGTTTTTGTATATTTTTGAAAATTATTGAAAATATTGCTGTATTTGATTGAGTTTTTTGTATAGTGTTGTCTATTCTTGAATATTATTGTCAATGACTGAAAATTATTGTAGGTTATTCTTTTTGTACGTGTATATTGCTGCATGTTCTTGTATATACTTGTATACTGTTGTATTTTTGTGTATAATTGTTGTATATTATTGCATCTTTTTTGTAATATATTCTTGTATTTCATTGGATCTCATTGTGTCTTCATGTGTTTTTGCAAAAAAAAGTGCTCGCATCATGGGACTACTAAGAAAACAGCGGGGGGGTTGGGGGGGGGCAGCCCCCCCCCCCCCCCCATTTGCAAACACAACGCTGACATCATTGGTTTGGAAAGGATGTTCATATGCGCATGCCTTTCCTTTCATTTCATGTCCTTTCCTTTCCTTCCTTCCTTGCTTCCTGGCTTCCTTGCTTTCTTGCTTCCTTGCTTCCTTGCTTCCTTGCTTCCTTGCTTCCTTGCTTCCTTCCTTCCTTCCTTCCTGCCTTCCTTCCTTCCTGGCGTCCTTCCGCCCTTCCTTCCCTCCCTCCCTCCCTCCTTTTCTCCCACCCTCCCTCCCCTTCCCTCTCTCCGTCAGAAGAACAGAATAAACTATTTCTTGATCCTAAATAATTTTTTTGATCCTAAACAAATTTTTCTTGATCCTAAACAATTTTTTTTTTGATCCGCATCCCCAGTCACCCCCCCTCCCATCCTTTGGCTTCCTCCCTCGTTGGTTGAGGGAGGCATCTTCCCCTCTTCCTTCCTCGTGCAGGGCGTTTGGCCGTAGCGTGCATTATCTTCTCCTTCTGTGGGGGGGAGGCTACCAGACACGTTGGACAGTTGCAACGTTAAAGGGGATTGTAGTATTGTTTAGGTCGATTTTTTATGGTTGGTGAAATAAGGTGGTGGGTTTAAGTCGGGCTTGCTAATTTTGACGGGGCTGCGGTAGGTCGGTTTTGGTAGTGTTGACGTGGGCTTAAAGCAAGGTTCAAGCGGTTTAGGTGTCTGATGGGCAAGCCGCGGCCAGCGACCACGACTTGTTTCTTGTGCTCCCGCCCAACAGGACAGGTGCCCTTCAAGCATCTTCAAACAATCAATGGTGCTCACCCCTATACCTGCTGAAAGCAAGACCAAACTCAAGCCTAGCTCTGCTGTTCGCGGAATTTCGGAACCCTCGCTCGTCCCATAGGGGACCTGATCGTATATGTTTTAGATAAAAGGGTTGGAGCCGGGGCGCCAGTTGCTTGGCCGAACCCGTGTCTGCATGGGCCAGAATGCCCCGATACTCGCCTCGCATTGTCCCAAAACGGACAGACGACGTGGAAGCACGTTGGGACATGTGAATGTCGGGCATCTGGCGTTCTCTTGGCGGAAAAACCTGCCACATCGTACCACCGCGGAGCATTGACTTGAGTTTGAAGCAAAACAGCACATCTCGCCGTGCCTCGATTTCAGAGCAGTCCTGTAACCTGCAGCTGCTACGGGACTCTATACGGGACTCTTGCACTCCAGAGGCGAGATGCCCTGCCACAAGCCTTTCTGACCACTCCCGAAGACCTTCCAGAAGATCTCGGTGAAGATCCTGCAGCGCCTCCTGGACAAGGGAAAGCACACACGCCAAAAGACTTAGCTCGAGCTTCTCCAGGCCACGACGATGCAGAGCAAGGTGAGCAAGGTAGCATCCAGGGCTCCTTCAGGAGGTCAGGCTCCACGTCCGTGGCTGCGCGGTGAAGCGCCTGGAAGGACACCGGGTTACTGGGTATGGCATGCAGCGAAACACAGCATTTTTTTGCCTCCGAGCTGGAGGTGGCTCGGGCTGCTGCTACAGGCTACTGCAGCTTATTGGAACATGCCACATTCCATTTTTCTTCACTTGGCACAGAATGATGCTGAGTTCGTGGGCTGATTCACAGAAGCTTGCCAAGCAATGCCAGAGCCACTTAAGGCCCTAGCCTGTTCAGCAATGCAGCAAACTGTCTGCAGAACCACTTACTCCGAGAGTTTACTCAGTTTACTCCGAGCTCTGTACACCTGTGGGCCCAGGAGCTACATAACCTTGGTAACCTTGCCCAACCGACTCTCAGAATGGAATGGTTGGCAACTCGCATTTTCTTAGGGTTTGAAGTTTGAAGCTTCAATTATCTGGAGGTCCCTGATGGCTTGCACCGGGCTGTCTTTACAAGCCGTTCATACTCCCATCTTATCCTATCCTTGCCGCATCCCTTCCTGATACGGAAGTTGGCAACTGCCCTAAAGAGGGTGTATCGCCCCTCGGCCCACAGCTAGCATCAATGCACTACAGCTGCAAAATCTTTGCGCTCTAGCACCCTTCCCGAAGTCATACCTTCTGAACGCTGCAACTACGAGCACAAAGATTCTGACCGAATTCGCTCAGATCATGCTCGTCTTCTGCCAGCCGTCTAGAGTAGCTCGCCCTTTAGCGTGCCATGTTGGCAGACATGTGAACGGGAGATCTGCAGAGAGGCTGTACAAGCAAAGGTTTCCATTCTGGAACAATCTTGCATCCTGCCATTGTCTTGTCTAAACCCGCACTATGCCACTATGCCATAAGCAGGTGACGGGGGAAAGACCTGTGCTCAGCACCAAGCCAGGCGATCGCTCTCCGAGCTGACCAGCGTAAAACAAAAAGGGCACCCATTCGGATTGTCGTTGCACGTCATGGCAGTCTGAACCTCCATGACCGCACAGCTCTGCACGTCACTGAGTCGTGCTCATGCCAAATACCTTGCCGAATTAGTTCAGAAATCATCATAACTGGGCCATACAAGGCTAGCTCTCCCCAGGACAGAGATCGGGGTCTGATCTCCAATGGCGTACGATCTCACTCTTTGATCTTGATACGCAGTCGAGGTCCTACAAAAATGTCACATGTAAGACGTTGACAAGAGACATTGTACAATACTTTCCCAACCACAAAGACAGTCGGCGAAGAGCCCACTAGAGACTCTCCTGGAAGTCGGACTCGTCATCTGAGGCGTTCTCCACGAAGGTGCGACGCACGACAATCTTCTGAACGGGAAGTCCTTCAACTCAGATTTGAACTGAGGCTAAGTGTGGCCACAAATGCGAGTTGCAAACCTGCTGAGGCACTCAGTGCACAGTCCTGGCGATGGCTCTCTTGTTTCACGACTTCGGGAAACAAAGCGTGGTGCAACATCCTCTGTCAGGCCTTGGTTCGACAGATTTGTCTCTGCGAGATCTGCCCCAAACGTGCCCAGCAAGTGCATGAGCTGCTAGAGTGCTTGTCTCATCTTCCAATCGAACCGGATGCTGGCAAGAGACTCGGGGCGTTTGACCCACCGTTGGCACGACGATAAGCAGCTTTCTGCAGTTGGAAGACCTACTCGGCAGATCGGTTCAAGGCTTCTGACCCTTAAAATGATAGAGAGCGTGTCTGGTTGCTTTTAACATGTTTAGAACATGTCTAGCGCAGAGACATACGCAGGGGAGGGGCCTCTCGAAACCGATCGCACACTCGACTCCAGTGAGATCGGCGGACGGCACACTGGTAATACACCTCACTTGACAACACTCTGGGAGGACTTCGCGGGGCATGCGAACATGCGCAAATTTAAACATTTAAGAATTTGAAGCATCGTAAGCACGTTGTTCGGTACTTCGGCCAAAGAGCCAGCTGGCGACCGTCCATCTCACAATAGATCGCAATGTCCTCGCCCATGCTGGCCATGAAGTTTTGGAGGTACCGCGCAAGGCTAAACTTTTCGTCGGGTGATCCTGCATTGCACGTCAAAAGCACAAGTCCCAGAACTACTGGATGCCTACTTCACTGATTTCATATCTGATTTCACTGCACCTTCAAACCGCCGCCATTTTGCGAAGCCCAGGGCCTCTCCCGCCTGCCAAAGCAGTCGCACATTCGCATGTTCACATACGGAACTACACGAATCGAACGCACGCGTCACGGAAGGTTTCTCTGGTCGGATCCCCTGCGGGGTGGTGCCAACCATGCGTGCCTCTTGGGACTTTTGAGAGCCTTTTCAAAGCTTTCGCAACAAAAAATGTCCTCAGCCTCTTTGCAGCCCCAGCTTGACAGGGGCCAAGTCCCGAGAGGGTGGCACCGAGCCCCACAGCCGTACTGAGGGTTTCCAACTACTGTTCAACATGTCGTGCCGCTTCGTTCTCGGATGCATTTTGGTGGGAAAGCGCTCTTGCATTGTAGACCAGCAAAGCTCAGAAAGATGCGACAAGCCAACGCCTGGATGTCAACGGACTCCAGGTCCTTCGACAGTCTGCCGTGTACTACTGTGTGCTGCATGGCAAGGAAGCCTTGAAAGTGCGCTTTTGCCAAGGAGCACTGCTTGCAGGAAGCATTGGCGGACCTCGCTTTGTACATGAAACGGCGAGGACCTGAGCAGCCGCGACCGTTGCCAAGTCCAAGGACGTCCACAGACAGCCAGAGATCGAATGTGTGGATTTAGATGGAGAGAAGCATGCACCATTGCAGTACAACAGCTTCGTTGTGAAGGCTTGCCGTTGAAATTGGAACCCCAATCCCCGGCAAAGCACTTTCAAGAGGATTTGGAAAAATGATCTGCTTTACTCTGAGGCACGCGAAAATTTGAACGGCTGCGTCGTTTAAAACACAAACGAAATTCTAGTAAAACCGAACACCTATTTACTAACAACCTCATCTGCTCTTGTTTCCTCATGCGCAAGAGATTTCATTTAAAAAACCAAATAATTTTAAAAATTCGCGAGTTGACAAACATGTAGCTGCCAAATCCAGGCTATACAGATCTCCTCAAGAACCCTTCTTAAAATCTCAGGGTGGGGGCCGGTGGGGGTGGGGTTGAGAGTTGCCTTGTGAAAGGTGAAGGTGAACACAATCTCAACCCAAAGAGTGAATGAAGCCACGAACCTGACCTCTCGCACAACTCTGCCAAGCTGCTATGTAGTGCTGCTCATCCAAAACGCGCAACTCTGCAACGCCCGGCCGGTTCAAGACCCATTGGATGCACTTCTCCGCCAAATGAGCTAGCCGCCAAATGTGGGGTGACGCCCAGGCTGCCCACTTCCACCTGCAATACAAGACGTCTGCTGCGGCTCTGCACCCTAAGCCTCCTGCACCTTAAGGAGTTGCCAGGCATGATATGCCCACGGGGTGCCACGTGGGTCATGTCAAGCCCAAGCTGCCGCGACTCCGAAAAGACAAAGGCGATCGTCACGGAGAAGTGGGAAGGACTCTCCGTTGGGCGCGTGATGAACATCCCCTCGGAAAGGCTACCGCATTCGGAGTTCTCCAGCCGTCCTGGGTCCACCCGCCAGAAGTAAGTTTTGCCAGGTTTTAACTCTCAGCAATTGCACATAATTGCACTACAGAGTTCTCCTCAGAGCTATTCCCAGCGTCCAGCATACACGCAGTCGCCCCGCTCTGGAAAGTCTCGTCTCAGCTTGTGATGTGCAAGGGTTGGTGTATCCGTGCAGAAGAAGGTATTCCTCGGATTCTGGAACCCACATCTGTGCCAAATCCAGAGACCAAGATGACGGAACGTGTTTCTGGAAAAAACTCTGCTATGCTGTGCTTAGGCACCCGGTCAAACTGCCAAAAAATAGGCAGCACAATCTCAGCAGTCCTGGGGTCAGAGCGGTGATGTGGGTGCTACATGAAGCTTCTCAATGCTCGCAGCAAGAAAGGAACTGCTGGAAGTTGGAGGTGCAATCTCACTTCGAGCGTCCGAGCTGATGCCAGCGCCAGAAGACGCCATCTCCAGGAGCTTTGCATTCCACGAGGTCGAAGCTGTTGCCAGCAATCGGCGAAACCCTTTCCAACTTGCCAGGGCTTCGAGCTTCACACTTGACACTCCAACCGCAAGCCGAAGCGGGGATTACGAAAGCATATGAAGCATAGTATGCTTGCTCCATGTGCGCCAATTTTCCTGCATGCTGTTGTTTTGTGGGCAGTGGGCGGCAGCACTTGTTTAAAACAATCATTGGAGTAAGAAAAGACTTCCCCTCAGCCTGGAGATGCCAAAATGCGACGGCAAGACCAAATGCAGAACTGGAGGGTATCCGAGGGTGTTCGGGCACCCTCAGCCTGCGACCAAAACTTGTTCATGTTTCGGCTGTTTTGCAGCCCCCGCCCCCCCCTCAAATCAGAAAGCAAACCGCGCAGTGGCTGGCAAAAGAGGCCACTAAGTTCCAGCGCAAGAAGCAAGGTTTAACAGGAACGGAAAAAGGAAAACAGTGATGACACAACAGTCGGCTATTTGTGTAACACAACAGTCGGATATTCCACGAGTAAACACTTCGAGCAAGTCCTCCCGGCCACCCCCCCAATCGGGGAATCGTAACATCAGCTTTCCGAGCTAGAAAACATCAAAAACGTGATTTCTGATCGGCCTCTCCTCCCTCAGCCACAGCTTAGAGTTTCTGAACTCTTGGAGCTTACAAGTGCCCCCCCCATCGCACTCCACTGGCAACCCCAAGAAGGCGTCAGAAGCAACTCCATCAAAACCCTAGCCCCTACATGGGCGCTGTTGGAATTGCCCGTCCCCTCTTACATCAGGATTGCACAGTCCCCACGAACACCAATAAGAGTATTGCGTGCAAACCGAAACATCGGCATTCGCAGCAGTCTTGCCCTTTTGCTTGGTCACTTCTGGTGACTATGACTGTTCCTCAGAGGGGAGGGGGGGGGGGGGCACTCCTTCAGAATCCTCGGTATTTGCAACAGTTCTTCTCTTTGCTACTTGGTTTTACTTCAGGGGGCCTCCTAGACCTCAACCCTGCAGCGGCTTGTGTTCCACTCATCCTGCTGGAGGGTCTTTGCTTACCTTTGGGCCAGCCAGCCAAAAAAGCTTCACTCTGGAAACAGTTTTCTCTCACACTCGTCGAGGCCATATTTTCTTTGTCGCAGAAACTTCTCGTGTAGGGCCAAAGTGGCCAAAAGACCGTGCAGCCGGCGACTTGAGGAGAATGAAAAGTTTTCCGAGAAATCCTTCTCGCAATAACACCACGTTGTCCAAAATCAAGAAACATCTCACGGTGGCGAGAGGCATACCTCCCTTGCTTTCCGCTGCCGCTACTTTTACGACCGCTACTAGCTGTACATGCTTCAACAGCATATTTGCTTCAAAAGCAAATGCGCCGCAAAATCTCAGCTGGCAGCCCAAATCCCTCCACGCCCTGAATTCAGAAGTTGAGGGCCTGGATACGTTGATTTTGGGGTGTCAAACAAGAATTGCACCGAGGCACTGGCTCCAATTTTCAGGATAATATACCCAAACAAACGCCCCAGTAATAATCAAGAAGCCGAGCGTACCCTCATCGGAATTGAATTTTTCTTGTCAAGCGCAGTCACCGCACAGTATGTTATTCGTGTCTCACTCCTCGCACTGTCCATGCGACTACAAAACCAGAATGTACCAGACCGGGCCCTACCGAGCCCTCACCGACCGCTTAGAGTAACATCCATGCTGTGAGAACCTTGGAGGGCGAGATGGAGGGGGAGAGGGGGGGGAAGCCACAAAATACAAGAAACTGAGTTTCCATGCACAAAAAAAGTGAAAAAGAAGTGCTGAGACTAGTGCAGGCAGTGAGCCGAGTCTGAAACTGCGCCCTCACTTCAGGGCGCACGAGCAGCTGGTTGGGGTTTTGCGGCGGGTTTTTGATGGCAACTCGCAACATCTCAAGCTTCATCAACTGCCGACGTCCAGGTCCAGGACAAGGTCGGTGCGCCATCTTGACCTCCCAAGTTTGGACCAGAATGGCACGCATGCAACATCATCTATCAGCAGAGACCTGCAGATGCCTGCAGATGCATGCTGGTGTGGCACACTGTGTGGGCTGCATTACAGGAATCATACAAAATATACAAAGCACGACTCCTGATCAATACTGGTCTTGATCTGCCTGTGAACATGCGAGAGGCGTGCAGGGGTTAGCATGCAGATACACCGGACTAGTTGACTAAGGAGCTCTTGAACGTTGACAAGGACCCGTATAGTATGTGTTTAAGTGGATTGAACTGGCCTCAGAATCGGGGCCCAATTGTGCCGAGATACGCGATTGTCTTTCATCACTACCGTCCAGCCCTCGTCTGACAGGCAAGGTCGAACCAATTCCAGCCTCGGTCTCCGCAGTCCACAGTACTAGCAGTTACTAGCACTCAGTTTGAAAACCAAATCAAGGCCGCCCGCTCGAACCTAAGAACCTCTGCTTGTCTTTGCCTGTCTGCACCTGCTCAATCTGCCTAGGTGCAGCTGCTCCATTTTCTCACTTTCGGTCTCCATGGCTTTTTTGCAGCAGGACGCGGCACTATTCCCTTGCAAGAATGCAAGCTTGGCCACCTCCTGAAAATATTAACATAGCGGGTCTCGTGCAGCATGCGCATTGTGTGGCTTGAGCGCTTGAGCAGGAGAGATCATGTGGAGAGCAGAAGAAATGGCTCAGCCCGCAGAAACCTCACGCCGAAGGGCGCTGTCTTCAACATTTTGCGCCTTGTGGTTCACATCGAGACCTCCTTTGGACTGCTCGCTGAGAGAGCCTGACACCCACCTGCGCACCATACTTGCGCAGACACAACCTCAATTCAATGCTTCTCTGTCATTGCGGGCGCCCTGTATGATGTAATGATGTAGGTATGGCACACCCTACTGGCGGCAACCCAAGTCTACGCTGCAGAGCAAGATGCAAGCTGCCCGGTGCCGTACACAGGTCCACACATACATGCCGACAACCCTTTTTGAAAGTCTGGTCGCTTGTCGGTCATACTACAAGTACCCCTCCATTGAAACACAAAGCCAGCCTGACAGAGCATCTACAACTGTCCCTGCTCGTCAGGGCCACTTTTCTGCGATTTGCCCATCATTTTGGCATTGTCCGTTTGTTCAGTCGATGCTGCCAATTCATCACAACAAACCGGTCGAGGCCCGAAGGATCTCAATGTTCTAGCAGGGCATGTCCAACGAAGCACATCTGCAGCGACTGCAACAGCACAGTTGCCGCCTCCACTTGTTTTCGACGGCATCTTGGATCACCCGATCGGTCACTATGGCAGCGTGGGACCTGCAGCAGAATGAACGCTCTCCGGTTCGAGAGGGGTGCACACAGGTCTTAGGAACAACGACTGGGTAATTAGCTAATGACAGCGCAGTTTCCGCGCCACAGCATCTTGCAATAAGCACCCGACCTCCAAAGCGAAATCAAGTGCTCGAACTGGTTGCACACGCTATCAGCCTGCCCGCGCTGACTTGGCAGCGGCAGATGATGGCAAATGCAACGCGCAGGGTCTTTCGACTACAGAGCTCTCCGGCAAAACCCGGACCCTGGCCCGCGCATGGTCTTAGAATACCAAATCTGACACGGGCAGAACCTATAGCTTACTTATAGCTTATAGTTACAGGCATCTGGTGCCTGGAAGTCGAAGGCCAGCTTCATCGAAGCGAAGAAGGATGCTGCCGCACGACCCCACTCCCGAGAGCGTGGCCTATGCCGGGGTCTGAAGGCTTAGGCTCGGAACTGAGTGACTGAGTGCCGCAACTCCCGTGCAACTCGGCCCTTCCCGTGCAACTCCCTGTGGCCCAGGCAAAGCTTTTTGAGGGTCACCCTTCCCGCCCAGGCAGGACTGGTCCCAAATGGCAAGAAGTTTCTGCCTGGGCTGCTTGGACTTCAGGGCCCTTCCTTTCAACGCAGGTTGGTTAGGATGCTTGCCTGTGGCCTATGGCCATTGGCACATCCATCTCATCATATCTCATCTACACACTCTGCGGCAGCTAGAACCCCTTCTGCTCATGCTACAGGCCATTGCGCTCGAGTGTAAGCGAGTCCTCACACGTTCAAAGTCTTGGCCTCCGAACTCGAGGTCCACGGTACTTTGTGGCCTGAGCGACTCAAGCCCTCCTCAGCTACCGGAGTTTAATTCGAGCGCGGGTCATGTGCCGAGATCGCAAAAAAGCCTCGACCAAAGCTTCGTGGCTCAGTGCCTCACTGCCCTTGCCACGGCTCCTTGCCCTGAAACTGCCTCCAAGGAAGCAATACAACGAGCAATCCAACGAGCAACAAGGCAATGTGCGGAGAGAGAGAGAGAGAGATGAGGCGCGAGATGCGAAGAGATGAGGTGACAGACAAAAGCTTACTTTCCCGCATAGACATAGATGATAGCTCCCACGCTCATACGATACCAGGGCCGCAGCTCTTCCGGGGCTTTTCTCCCAATCTGCTTGACCCAAAGCGCACAGGACCTTGTGTCTCACGCCATGCGCACCCTCCTCTAAGCACCCTGAATCGATTGAATTTCGCACAGGGGAACGAATGCCATGGTTGCATTGATCAACACACACTGGCCACCAAGGTTTATGCTTTGATGCAACGGCTGCAAAAAGGATGGCCTGGACATCATAATTGCAACGCCATCACCCCGAGCGCACGCGATGCAATGCATGCCGGAGTGACGAACAGGGACAACAGCACCGGAATCGCAAAGTCAAACTCATCTGTCTTCATTGTGTAGCAGTACGGTGGCGCCAACCTGATGATCTGATGAAGAGCAGGTACGTCACAGCACACACACGTCGACTGTCTCAACCGATTCCGGGCCACCGACATCACGCAGCAGTCGTGCCCGTGCATGAGTGTGCCTCCCCAAGCATCCACAGCCATCTGCGTGGCCTGGCTTGTGGGTCCGTCCATAATGTTAAGTGTTTTTCTCACCTGCAAGTGGCGGAAGACTGTGGTCAGAGTTTAACAAAACTTTTCAGTATCTAAGTTGATCAGACTCCCTTCGCCACGTGCTCAGAAAGGTGCTGGGCACACGGGTCCGACCAGAAATCGAAAAGCCCCTAGCCTGCTTCAGGTTGCCCGTGCTGCCGTTCATCACAGCAATCCAAGACCTCAGCAGCGAGTCGGCTCTCGGCTTCAACTGGTTTCAATCGCTTTGCCAGGCAAGGAGTCTCGGATACCCGCTGGTCACAAAGCCACAAAGCCTTTCTTGCTCCTGGGACTGCCCGGCTGCTTCTGCATTTCAGGGTCCAATTGCTTACTTTCGTTTCGTTGCCTTACTTGCTTCTCGGATGAGGTTTCCTGCGTCTCTGCCTGTTCGCAGGGCCCAAATACATTATAATATGTTATTATTACTGCATTTGGGGCACTTCCGGCTGTGGATTTGATATAATGTAGTTAAAGTTGGGGGGGAAGGGGTACGTACCCCTCATTTTCGAGAGCCAGATTTTCGTCTGCCGATGTTGTTGCAAATTCCGTGCTTTAGCACGGCGGTAGGGGGGCGGGGGGGGGGGGGGGGGGGGGGGGGGTGGTGGCTTGAGCTGCACATGAATTTCGTTTGGCTTGGCTTTGTTTTAGGGGGTTGGGTAGACAGCTCCTTATGGGGCGGGTCGCTCAAGATCGGAAGGCAAAACTGAGCGACTGACAGCCCGTCTGGCTACAAGCTCAGCAGACCATGCACAAACTGAGCGACTAGCTGAACGCGTGTGCAATTCAAAAGCCAACCGACCGACGGGCGGCTCCAAAATGTTCCAGAACACACGGCCCGGAACAACAACCAACAAAAATAAAAATGCCAACAACTCGACAAAACAAAAAAAATGTTTGGGCAATGTGGCAGGACGTCGAACTCCACACTGCCCACAGACACACGCACGATCTCCCTCTCACCTACCCCACCATCCCTCCCACCCACCCGTTGTCCTACGTGGTGGAACGACACAACATGAGGAAACAAAGTTGTGGATAGGAATGCTGCACACATGAAAGCCGATGCGCCTGACAACGCTCCCACTCTCCACGTTCAACATGTCAAAATGCACAGATTGCTTTGCCAAAGCTGCTTTGCTATACCTACAGATACCATGTGGTCACCACACCCTCCACCCATGATCCACGCCCCTTGTTTGAATCTTCTCTTTCGATGCTGAAACAAGCATCTTTAACTTAAGATATGGACACCACAGTAAAATGACATTCGCTTTAAGCACGGCGCTGCTTAAACCAGTTTGAGGACTCTTCATCGTCTGCCCGCGGCCCGACAGGTCGATCTACAGCCGAGAGCGAGCGAGAGAGAGAGAGAGAGAGGTGACAGCAGGCCCAAACCGAGAACCAAAGTCCACGACAGTGCAATCACAAAGCTGCACGTGTGTTGAAAAGAGAACTCCCCAAACAGGGACAACTCGTTTGGACAATTGGAGCCAGAGGCAGCCATGTGCCTAGGACTTTCTTGCATGTTCACCGAAAGATGGTGCTTCAAAAGTCTGCCAATGCAGTGTCTAGGACAAGCCATATATCATACATGCCGATTCAACGGGAGGAGGTCTCCCCTCCACTCTCTCTCTTCTTCATGTCAACGCCAGGGAAGTGGGGTTTCACGAGTGTCAAAGTGCTCGAAATTGTCCGAACATCACCGATCGCCTTTACGCGCTCTCCATCTTAGCAGAGCGTTCGCCAAAATGCCCTCATTGTCTGTCCCGAGTGGAATGTATCCGGCTTGGAGGCATCACAAACCGCTCCGAGAGCAGAAAAAAAAAGCAGCGAGGCAACGAGCTTCAGAGCATCGATCCTTTTCTCAGGTGAATGAGTGAGTCAGGGAGTGAGGGAGTGCGTGTGTGTGCGTGTCTGTGTGCGTGTGTGTGTGTGTGTGTGTGTGTGGGTCAAAGCCTTGGTTGTGTTCATGGCACTCATGGCAAAGTTGCAGCAAGGCTCCCTCTTGTCATGTGGTGGACAGGAGGTGAAAACCTACCGGCCGGAGTGTGTTGTCAAGTTCGTTGTTAAATTTTTCACGTGCGACGAAAAGTCGCAGCACTTTCACCCGCATGTGCATGCAACAACACGCCTGCACAAATCTGCACAGCACCAACAAGTGGCCAAGGCTCTTCTGTCCCATTCCGATGACGGTGAAACTGCGCGGGGGGCAAAAGGGCACACAGCGCAGCAATTCCAATTTGACGTGGGCACCAAGACTCGCTAATGCCAAGCACTTGCTATACGAAAACTCTCCGGTGAACTTCCTTTTTTTCGAAGCCCTCCTGGGGATCTTCCCTTCGCAACTGCGGGCGCACACTCTCAGGGCAGCATTGAAACCTCAGCCAAAAAAAACACTTTGCCCACACGCGCAGCTAGGACCAGGACTAGGGCGCGCCCCTTGTCGCCACAAAGGGGCAGTCTTCATCCAAAGGAAACTTCTCCCGCAAGCTCCAGAGCAGGCCCACAGCAACCTGCAGCCATGCCCAGGCTCCAGAAGGGCGTTCTGAACCCAAGATTTTGAAAGGCGCTTGCTCCCAACAGCTCCCTATCTACTCAAATTTTGCTGAACAGCAGAAGAGCGCCACATCGTAGCACACATGGCAAAACCCGAAGCCTCCCACCGTCGCGATGCGGCCACGGCTGCTGAGCCGCCCAGAGCATCAGAGCAGCCGGTGGCGAGGCTGAGCGCATGTGTCCATGGGCCTTCTGTGCTGCCCCCCCGCCGCCCCCCCCCCCCCACCCCCATGGAATTTTTCTGCCCGGGTCACGATATTTGTCAGCAACCAGCGCCTTCCACAACAAACGCAGCAATGGCCGAATTGGTGCCGATGACTCTGTCGCTTTCTTCATTTTCCAGGAGATCACCTCCATCGGGTGTACAGGTCACAGTGCCGGGTGAATGCCTGACCAAGTCTGCAAACCAAAGAGCTGCAGCGCAGAAGAGTCAGCGCGAAACGCCATCGTCCACACCTTTACGGCAACAGGCCACTTCTGCTCTCGTAGCGTTCGCAGCAAGAGACAACTGTTGCGGCATCCGGCGCATGACAACACGCTACTAAGGCACCTGGCAAGAGCTCCAAGTGCTGAGTTGGTCACCGAGGAATCCAAGGAGTTCCTGTGCGCCTGGATCAAACTGTGCTTTGACTTTGGACTTTGAACGTAGCCGTAGCTTGACTCATCTCATGGTTGTTCTTGCCTGGCAAAGTGCGACTGCCCTGATCCAGCTGCGGGCCGTGGCAGAGGTGGCAAGGATAGCGTTCCTTGCCGAACGCCGGAGCTTTGTTCCACGTGTCAGCAGCCCGCTTCAAGATAGCCGGGGGCCAGACATCCGTATGTTCTGGGCTGCACTGGTGCGGAGCAGCTCACTGGCACTTCTCCAGAAGCTTGCCTCGGAGGGCAAGAAGAGCAATTCTCTCGCAGTGTTCGTCTGGCCTGCTGTTGCGAAGGTCTGTCTCAAACTACAGGCACGATCTGGCGAAACAACCGTGTGGGACACAAAGGTGACCTTGAGAAGAGGAATGCTGGCTTCCATCGAGCAGTGGGCGGGAGTGTGTACTCGGGGGATCTCGGGGGTGTCCTGTTTTGTATTCCTCGGCCTGTTTCAGTGTCGGACTAGTGACTGTGCAAGTCGTGGTTTTGCAGGGCATGGCCGACCCATGATGTTGTATCTGCTTTCGTGTGTGCTGTCAGCTGCTCCAATCATCACTACTCCTGCTGGATCAGCCCGGGGGTTCACACACTGGCCGTGGCCACTCACCCATGTTAATACAGCAACCGGAACCAGCCTAAAAACTCTGGCTTGCCAAGCCTTGCACACCACGCATCTGGAGCACACGCTGCGTGTGTGGTGCGGCATTCCGAAGCAACTCATGGCACAAAACCATTACACACTCTGCGGGATTCCCAACTCGGGTATTCCAGGGATCCTCTGCTAGATTCTGTGAGGGCGAGCACTTCAAGAATGTTCGGTGGGCTTTTCCGCTTACGTCTTGAGGGCAGTCGGTACTAGGACGCTCTGCGGGATTCGTCCTGGATTCTTTGAGGGCATCCAGACTCTCTGGAGAATTCTTGCGGGGCACCAGGGATAGTCCGTGGGGCGGGCACTTTGGGGATGCAGCATTGCGGCATTCTGGAAGTGCCCAAGCAAAGGAGTGCAAGAACCTGGACAAAGCAAAAAGTTGTGGTTGATCCATTCAGGAGCTCATTCATTCTTCTCAGCACTACTCTCACTACTCCCACCTTCCTCAAAACTGGAAAATGGTGAGGAGTAGCCTGCTGAGTAGCCTGAATTGGTCGGAGCCCGGAGCCATCCCCCTCGTTACTCGAGCCGACCAGTCTTTCAGTCCCTCACTGAGATCCGTTGGATTCCAGTTCTTGCAGTGTTCCTGCTATGCGTTCTCCAAAACGAGCTTCTTGGGCAAGCACAAAAACGAAAGTCTTGAAAGACGCGACTTGCCATGCTTCCGATGATGACAGGCTAGACGTGAACCCACCGAACGCATCACGCTCACGTCTTGCTGGCCGGGTGGCTGAAGTGCAGGATGCCGCGACACAGCTCCTGACTCTTCCCGCAGCTTCGCGCAGCGAGCAGGCTTGCTTGACGGGTGAGGTGCTCAACACACATAAGGCCGGAAAGGGAGTCCAGGACTCAAGCATGAACTCGTTGCTAGCTCACCCTTGTTCGTGGCATCATATGGCATGTATTTCAGTGTAATGATTTTGGGGATGGCAGAGCTCCAGCTTGCAATGTCAGGCCGGCAT